ACGCTTTACCAGATATATGACAAACTTGTTAAAACTATGTTTTTCAAACACAGAGACCATAAACTTATCTACTGAAGACAACGATGAAAAATGAGCTTTTGGCTCATACATAATATGATAAACTGTTTAATTTCAACCAACTGTTCTCCGTTTCCTCTGGAGATCCTTACTCGAGATTATGTAAATGAAAAGATGAAAGTTTTCAGGATATTTCAGCTTACTAAGTGGCTTTTCCATCGGCTTTACTGCAGCTTTTTATAGGAGTACGATGTAAATTAAGCTTTCAAATTAAGTATTTTCTTGCCCGTAATTTACATACCTGGGGCACATAAAATGAGCCAAACTCGATGTACATTAATTGAAATGCTAGACGGAGTACTATTCCATAAAGAAGTCGAGCCGTGAGACCAACATTCAGGTGTAAAAACAGATGAACTATTTATTTTTACTTGTTGATATTTCCAGAGGAATGCGGATTTTTTAATTTAAAAATAAGTTCCCCAAAAAAACACCTCTGACTGATCACTCTGGCACTGGGGCTTGTTTTTCCACAGTTGTGTAAAAATATCCCAGTAAATCAAGTATAATACATCCTGGAGGCAAATTAAGAATTAATTTATGCAAATCATATCGTGTTACGAGAAAACATGACTCCAAAATATTTACCCATAAACAAGTTTGGTCACATTAAATTATTCATATGTGAGGAACAATAAGATCATAATTTAACAAAATGATGAAGATATTGCGATAACAATCCATAATTATTAATTTCTTCGAATGACTTTTACGCATCAATTTTTTTCAATCGAATACGCTTATACAAGCGCTTCCTAAGAGACGAATAACTCATAATTTTTCATTTATTTCGCTATAACTTGCGATTAAATCAGTATTTGTAACTTGAGCGACTTAAAACTTACTGCTGTGATAATAATAAGTCTCGTTCCTCTCTTTTATTTAAAATTTACCATTCGTATCTTATTATTGTTTAACGTGTTAGTAATAATTATTGTAACAGGTAGTGTTAATTTTCAAATGGCGTGCGTGTTTCACTTAGATACTTCACAATCTACTTATTTAGTTGCATTTTACTTCCAAATAAAATACTTTTTCTGAGTAGGATATCCTGCAGTGTAACAAATCGTTATAGTGTCAAGCACCTTTGAATATATTGGGTTGAGTTTAAAGTTTCAAATATTAAATTGAAAACAACGTAAGTTTCTGCAGTGTAATAATTGGAAATCTAATGTTTGTAGAATTTGTAGGTATGTAAATTATTCTGATAGCTCACTTACCATAAGAAATTAACAGTGTTCGAATAGATGTAATTGAAACAAACTGGTTACTGCTCCTGAGCAAGCATTATAAAATATTAAATCAGAACAAACCTGAAACTTTGTTATTTACATTCAAAACACTTATTCTTCATTATGTATTTGAAACATTAATTTGTAAAAATAATTATTGTTAAACGAAAATATCGCATTGCGTTTTAGTATTTCTGCATTATACCTGTAAATATTCCTTCTTAGTACTCCATTTTAACCAAAACTACTATTCATTCTATCGATGGAACACTAACACAATATCGTGACCTTAAAATAAATCTGTAGCAGGTAACGAGTAATATTCAATAGCCGCCAGATTTTCTCAACGATCTCCTCTGAACGTTAATTACTTTCTTTGTTATCTAAGACCTCTTTTTCTTAACTCTGTCACGGTATACTATTTTAAATTGTCGACTCACTAAACCCATTTCGACATTTGAATTCGTCCATAAATATCGTTTGTTTTTTACTAAAGTCAAGAGATTTTATCTCTTTAAGAATAGTTGTTAATCTTGACAGAGTTTAATAAGACAGCGACCCCAATTTTAAAGAAATATGGGGTAGGAATGTTCTGTGAGATAGTGCTCGTATCTAACAATTATCTGCACTAGATTTTTTATAATTAATTATGGGACAATATTAGGTCGTAAAGAACATATCTAAAACATCTTCCGGTTAAGAATTATTAGCAGTTACAGAAGTAATTGCTTTTAAAAAATATTAAAAATAAGAAAAACTTGTATAGTATATAGTTCTCTGCCTGGAACATTGATTTTAATGTGACTATCCGTCAGATTCCCTGACAGGTAAATTTCATCCCGACTGAAATTTCCGTCTTGCTGCCACTCTAAATGTCATAAAAGGTTAAGTAATTCAAATTTAATAGACTATAAACGAATATTTGATGTTAAGTCGTTTCTGTTGATATTTGAATTTCATTTATCTAATCTCGTAAACAAAATTCAAGGAAAATATCAAGTGTTTATGTCCTGTCATCAGCAAATAAACCTAGAAGTACCGTTAACAATGTACTTACATGCAAAGTGCGAATTGTAAACACGAACTTTTAAATATCCTTCACGAAACAAATATAGATTATGTTAAAAATACCAAGTAGTTAGTTTTTGTAAAATTTAAATTAAATAAATATATTAAAATATTTGAGTTGTGATAAAACTTTTTAGTGTATAGTTTAATACATGATAAATATCAAATATTTATAGATAGTTAAATGGTATGAAATTAAAATTATGAGGCAAAATTTCATAAAATTCATGCTAGTAACCCACCTAGATTTCTATAGCGCAGTTAAAATCCTCAATACGCATATAATTCGAGAATTATATATAAAAGATAGAGATGCTGCATAATATTGGCACCTATTTGAAGCTAAATTACAAAGACTGGAGTCCCTATCAGGCGCCGAATAGACTACAACATTTATTACTGCTACCACCGACAGACCACGTAGCGATTTTTAATAAAATTCACCTTTGCTTCATAGAACATATAAGATTTTTTGCAAAAAAAGGTTTCGTTTAAAGTTTGAGCAGCATATTTTATGTCGACTCATTTTGCTTAATTACCGCATTAGTAAGACAAAGGAGAGCTAGTCTACTAGATACATAAATGATCTAATTTAATAATCAATTTTTTGGCACAGAAAAATAATTAAACTGCCATCAAAGTAATAAAAAATTAATTGTTTCCAGTATTTACGTTACGAAAAAACATCCCCCAAAAATGCAGGAAAAAATTCTTTCAATTTTCAATAAATTTTTTCAATGAATTTTCAAGTGTTGTTTTATATATTCAACAAATGTTGTGCGAATAACAGTAATCAATCAAGATTTCGGTAAAAATAGGAAATGACAGTTTATCACACATCTAAAACAATAGATTCGAAACAATTGTTTATAGACAATCATTCATTCACTAAAGGCTACATAAATATTAATTAATTACGCGATAACAAAACATAATTATTAAATACATAATTTATTAGAAAACTAGACAATAAATCAAAATTCAAAATTCATTGAAAATATGGAGAATATCTAATACAGACGTGAAAGCAAAAGGTGACTGAAATGTAGAGATTGCACTGCTGTCTATCTAACATAAATATTTATTTTGTTATGTTAAACTGAGAAAAGTGTAGATGAATATACAGGGTATTCTCAAAAGCCGCGAACAAAGTCGAATTTTAAAGGGAAATGTTTCTAGTAAAACTTGTAAGATTTTAGATGTTACTTTTATCGGTTGCTTTCGTTATGAAACTATAAATTTCATTTATAGGTTGAAAATAACTGTTCCAACATGCACTGATTTAGAGTTACATTTTCAATTATCAGTGCTCGTAATCAGCACATCACCTTTCCGTTCGTCATTCATAAACGAATTTCGTTCATTATTACACTGATTCTCTCTTCCTGCTACCTCACAAATTACAATATGCAATTAGTTGAACCAAACGCAAAGCAAGGGTTCGTCGAATAATTCGGAAAAATCACCAGCCCGTGAACAATTAAAATGCCTCGCGAGCGCTTTCGCCTAGTTGCCTCGTATTACATCATTTTTAACATTCTAGTTGAACCCCAGCCTGCGAACTGTTACATATTGCTCGGGGAAGAGTACCCTCCCTCTATTCTTCCTGCCGTCGATTGCAAATTCCCCAAATTTCCTGTTGTCAGTTGCACCCTTAAAAAAAAAGAGTATATTTTCATTCAAAATCAACTCAATTTTTTATTAAAATCCTTCAAAAAAATCATGCTAATTAACTGATACTTACTAACTTTGCTAACAAAATAACTGACTTTTTTTTATTAAAATTATATTGTTCATCTCTAACAAATTCCAGAAATTCCCGTATACAGTGTGTTCAACAAGCTCTATAACAATCGTTAAATGATAGTTGGGTTAATTTCAAAAATGTTTTCTTACATGGACATTTATGTTCGATTCGTTTTTGTTTAGAAGTTACAAACATTTTAAAAAATATAATTTCATGTTTCAATCAAAGTGGCCTGATAAATAAAAATGTTTGTCATCGAGCTTGTAGTATAACCTGTGTATCATCACTTTAAAACTTAAATATATTAGATACATATAATATTGTTTGTTTTGACACATACAATCAGCATTATTATACTGATATTTTCTTAGCAACAAATTTATTAAGAATTTAGATAAATATTTTTCGTTTAAAACTCAAATATCTTGGAGTTGTTTACCAGTTTATAATGTAAATAATAAATTTAATATAATGCATAGTTTATGAGCTTCTGCGAGTAATGAAGTAATAAAATATTAATTTCCAGTTATTGTTTGAGTTTTAGTCTCATTCAATTTTAAACCATTAGCTTGAAGCCAGTGTATAGCTTGCGCCTGATTTATCGATACATAAGTCGCAAGCCAACACAATCAGCAAAAAGAACGTAGTTGTCAGTAATTGCATAGGAAAGATCATTTACATAAACTAGAAATAATATTGGTCCTAGAACTGAGCCCTGAGGTACTCAATTTTTTGGTGGAGAGTCTTTCTATATTTGCTTAAATGTTTTACTTTTTGTACTACTATGAAATGATATGTAGTTTATTTACTTGATGATTGAAATTTATTCTTGTAGAAATCTTCACAAAATAGTTTATATTTTTTCTTGTTTGCAGGTTCAGTTGCACCTTCATCTTTGCTAAGGTAAGAAAAACTGAAATCTCTAAAAACAAAATTACTTATATCATCTACATAGATGCGTATATCTTTTACTTGCAAATGTAAAGGAGTAAATTGTCTATACAGTGTCTACAGAAATGATCTCACCTAACTGTCATCTTGTCTAGTTCAAGTTCTTATATTTGATGAAATAGACAAGTCACTGCTCTCTCTTAGGTGACTAAGCGCTATTGCAATTATATGACGTAATTACAACATCGCTATTAAAAGAAAGTTATTAAAATTTAGGTGTATTCGGAAATTGTGGTACAACAGTATTTTACCGGTTTTGGACAAGTTGTGTCAAGTATATACACTTCGATCGTCCTTCAAGTGCAGGTTCAAGGAGTTGATTGCATTTAGTATGCTTGTTTACTTGATTTAATTTATACTCCAATATGGCTTTTGTTTTGTTTCATAAAACAGTGTGATATTTTAATGGCTTTCCCTCATTTTGAAGAAAGTAGGTGATAAATCACATCATAGGAAGCCACTATATTAAAAAGAAGCTCCTAAATTTCGACACTTATAAAAATTACATGTGTAAGTGCTTAGAACATGGTTCCGTGTTTATTATTTTTTGTTTCGGGTTGTTACGTTCTAAAACACATAATATCCGCTTGGGTTTTTAACAGATGTTTGTGGTAATGTCACGCATATGTTTCCGAAAATATAAAAATATTATCTAGTAGGTACTTTCATTGCAAGGAAGTTGGAAGAACAAATGATGAAATAAAGATTTATCAATGTAAGCACCGTGGAGAAATGTTATTTATAAACACCTCGCGATATAAGACAAGAAATAGAGAATAATAATAATAAAATGATTTTCCAATTTAATACAATTCGTGGCCCTTGAAAATTTGACAACTCATCCATCATTATAATCAAATAATTTCTCTTTTAGTTTTTTTATCCGGGACCAAAAGAATAACACAAGTATGTTAGCAAGTGTGATATGTTATATTTAAGTAAAATATGGGATGTTTATTGAAATTCTACTCACTTGAAACATGTGGGAAATGCTAAAGTAAAAATATACGTATTGTGGGAAATGAAGGAAACAGATGTGAGCTTCCCTTAATTTTAAATTTAGAATAAGGATGCTGCTAGCGAAGAACATAATAATTATACTTATTTGTTCAGTGATCTCTATTTTTGTCTTTCCAATAAAATTAACAAGGAATAATTAGAACGATTATTTTGTTTGTACGAAGAAAAAGTCGAATTAAAAGAAGACCTACGATCTTTCTTCTAAAAATAGTATGATTTGTGTGGAGTTTTGCCAGCCCTCTTCAAAGGCGTTGAAGGTACATTTGCACAATTATGCTGCTTTGCTCACATTAAAAACTCCATTAAGAGAGTATTGACCTCGTGTAGGTGTCTGTTTATTAATTATCTTACCATTATTGGTTACGACGAACGTTAAAATACCTATAGAACAGTCGATCAACTTTGTAATTACTTCAGATTTTGTTTTGTTGACTTTTATGGATCTCTTATGCTAATAAGATTAAGCTAAGTTGAAGTACATGCTAAACCCTATTGCTGTAGTCACACAAGGTGATATTTGCTATAATGATAATTCTAAATGCTAGATTTATACTTGCTCTAAAAGAGCGCTAATAAATGATTATGTTTTGCTGCTTGTGGTATAAATGGAATGTGAGATATAAAAAAATACTGATCGTAGGGGAAATATGAAAAGAAAATAGTTTGGTAATTCTTTAACCTTTTGAAATTCAAAACTCTTGTAAGAAAATAAGGGAACTTTATTTATAGGCAAATAAGTGTTGTCTTCTACATCAGAAATATCCAAGCTTCCACCTTTTTTATATTTTATGTCTTGTTCTCCATTTTCATAACCTGTTATAAATTTATATATCTAATTATTTGTTCCATATTCCCATGTGACAAAACATTAGAAATTAGTGACTATTATTGCAGTCTAGGTCAAGCTATTCGCTTATTATGCCATATTATAATGCAATTTTAATGTGTAATATAGTTACACTTGCATAAATTAATCGATTATAATTTTATGCAATTTTCTGTAGAATTGCAGTAATTTCTTCGTATAATGATAGGCTTTTTACAACGTACCTATATGAAACAAGTTAATAGCATTTCTCTTGATCGGATATTAAGTTAATTTACAGTGTCATAATTTGTATGGTTTAATGTTAACATTTTAAAAATAACAGAAATATCTGACATCGTGTAAACTATAAACTACATTACTAATTCAGAAAATTGTAGAAATAATTAAAATACCGATCAGTTTTTTATATTTTTTTGTATAACTAAAAAATTTCAATGAAGTCGAAAACAACCTGTTCAGTTTTTGTTTTCCAACCATGGTCCGAGAAATTCTGTGGCATTATACCCATCTTAAAAACTAAATTATTCCGTGATTTTACTTTCCTTTACAAATTTTTGTTTTGCCACAAAATATATTATTCGTTGATACATAACACGAATGATATCAGTTAATTCCAGTTATTCTAAAAGAGAATTGGTTGAAGCAATGTTATCGGCACAGATAAACAAAGTACTGCTGGTGTCAAGGAGAGGAACGAAGGACTATTTTATCATTTTCAGTTGTGCTTTTTTAACATCGAATGATACTCTTTTATTTTTTTATATATTTTTTTGGGCATGCATTCAATTTAATAGAAAAGTATCAAGCCAACGAAGCAAAAGGAATTCCTCAGAAGATTTAATTACTTTAGTTATTACATTGATTAAACGCAAACAAATATGCTATAAATTCATCTTTAGGCACCTGCTGTGTCTTATGTAATAGAGGTGTGTATACTACTGTATACTTCCCTGGAACTTATAAATAGTAATTATAAAAATTCCAGTCAGCTGTAAGTTATGTAATTGTTTAATTAATGTATGGCATAACTGGCATAATTCTAACAAACAGGTACTTAATAAAATCAAACTATATCTTGCAATAAATATGAAGTAATACTTTAAGACTCAAAAATATTTGAATTGATATAATACAGGTACTTAATCTTTACCTATATATTTTTGTTCCACTCTTTTCCAAAGTATTTTTGAAATATTTGAAAAAAATTAGAATGGTTTGCGAACTTTATACAGAAACTATGAAAATGTAACCTCCTATAGCTGCAGTTTCGCAACATATAGATTTGCAGAAGTAGAATAACGTATGAACTCGATCTTTGATAAGAGCAAGTCTAACCCAGACTCCATTTGCTTTGTGCTTTTTTTCTTAATTGGGCTTATTAAAGCTATCTAGTCACAGCTAGGTAGACCTTGATAATGCCAACAGAAACCAGCGACGTAGTGTTTGTATTGTATGGCGAGTTAGAGTATTACGTAACTTAAATAATTGCACTTTCACGTGATAAGTAACTAGCGTTCACTACCACTTAGTTTGGAAGCATCTAGTACATGAATAGGAACAATACGTTTATAGATATTTCCACTTCTATTATTCTTCTATGGCATGCATGGTAATATTTTGCCCTACCATACTTCTTTCTCAAAGCGTGTAATAACAGTTTTATCATTCTTTGCTTTGCTTCAGATCAATAATTTAGATGACCTGTGTTTAAGATACTGTTTAAAGATTGCTAACAAAGATACCTTCCAAAATCCAGGTTCATTCAGCGTTATTGAAGATTCAAGTACTGATTGTAGAATGGATATTATCGAGCGTTTCCAACAAGGGATATATAGCTAAAAAGATTGTGTAAACCACGAACTAGTATAGACAGAAATGTATCGATTCAACTTCTGTTCTCGTTTTGGGCAAAAATCGCCTTAAAATTTTTTTGTACATAGCTATTGCAATTAGTAATATGCACATATTTTCCATATAATGTCTGTTTTCATAACTCCAGTACCTTTTACATTCTGAAAATGCTCCCCTACTATTATAGAATAGATGATAACGCTGTTACAATCTTCAAACATGCGGGCTTCGTGCAAATGGATACTATTTTTAATTATTTCCAGCATATAATTATACCTTCTTCCTCGATGACTGCGATAATTTAAATTTTCTGTTTCAAGATGAAATCACGTTTCCAAATGTATGATTCAAGCGTTAATTCAAGGTGAATTATGAAAGGATTTCATTGCTTTAAGTACAATGGGTTACTGGGACTCATTACTCTGCAAAGGTAAACACATCTGTAGCTATTTAAAAAAAAATGATAGACTATGCATATTCGTCTTTGTTGTTTTCACAATAGGCTTTTTTATCAATAAATGATGTATACAAAATAATCAGAAACCAATAGAATTTTTAATATTACTTAAGTGGGTCTATTGTCTTTATGATAAATTAACGAAATAAAACTCTGTGTCTAGGGTGTGCATCGGTTTTTTATTAATGTTGTTATAATATCCTTACTACAAACAAGTTTTAGAGAGTTAGCCTTCAAGCTGCAAGGCATTGTTGCGTAGAAGTTATTACTCTTACCTTTAGACTGCTACATCAGCATACCTACATCTTCCACTAACAGTTGTTTATATAATTAATAATGACGAAGCAGTAGTACAAAATGAGAATGCAAGTAAGCATATCGATTACAGGAATTGTTATTAGCTGATTTTAAAAAGTGCTTGGTACATGCATTTAATTGTTTTATATAACATTGTTAGCTGTGGATGTGGTTATATTATTTTGTTCACATCAATGTTAATAAATTTATTTGAGATTTCCAACAAAATATTTGATTGGTTCATGTAACAATTATTAAAGTATTTAGTCAAAGTATCAGATTCAAAAGAGTCAGGTGGTGTTGTGTTGTCTATTTGAAGGAGGCATGAAGGATTGTATTTTGAAGACTGGGCAATAATTGGTCACTAATGACGTAAGTTCCCTATCTCAGGAAACAGTATTTTCATATCCATATTTGCTTCAGCCTGGAACTGATCTATATTTAGTGTGTTTATCCCGCATCTTTTAGGTACATTTATAAATAAATCGACCAGTATAA